AGGCCTTTCTGCCACCCCAAACTCCCCTGTTTTCCCCTGTTGGGGGAAAGTGTCCTTTAAAGGCTTGCCTAGGCAGGCAGGAGGGACCACAAACCCCATAGTGCTGGGGATGGATACCCACCAGGCTGGATCACACTGACCCGGTGTCCTTTCCTTCTAGGTCGGATGCTCTTGGGCACATCTTGCCTCATCTGGGTAAAGACTGGACTCATCACGGGATTGTTAAACTCTTCCACAAAATCCACCTGTAGGTATTGGATCATCTGAGGCCAAGGGGAAGTGGGAAACTGGTGGAGTCAGAGCCAAGGCTTCTTACTCGCTGATGCTGGGCAGAACAGCCTCGTTATCTGCTGTCAGGGATGGCTGCTGTGCTGCCTTCCTGATGCTGGGGGGTGAAAGCAGGAGGCCCCCTGGGAGCAGATGGAGGCATTGCCTTCCCCGGGAGCAGAGTGTCGGGGGAAGCTTTGCTGGGGAGGTGTAGCTGAGCACCCGTGGTGAGACCACCCAGGGTCACACCTGAGAGTGGTGGCACGGAGGTCCCCAGCACTGCCAGCCCCGGGGCAGTGCCAGTGCCCCTCTGGGTGCCCAGCGATTGCTTCCCAAAGCCCAGGGGACGAGACCCCCGAGGGGTGACACTATCAGCGGGTCCCTGCAGAGCCTCCAGCTCAGTCCCTGGCCCCTGTGGCCACTGAGAGGCACTGTGGGCCCGTGGATGGCTGGTCCCGGCCCCGGGAGGGACACACTCCCAGGGCTGCAGGGACAGGACCAGCACTTCGGCTACCTCCAGCCACCCTGGTCCCCCCTCGACTGGCTGCCCTGCCCTGGAGGCCTGTGAGGGCTGGGTACAGCCCCCTAATGCCCAGGCAGCCCGGTGGGATGGAGGTGCTGCCAGGAGGTCCTGGCTGGGTGTGTGGGTGCTGAGCAGCAGTGGGTGCTGTGCAGCTGGGTGGCTGTGTGGCTGCTGGGGAGAGCCTGGAGGGTGGTGCAGGGACCCCCAGTGTGAGGCAGGTGCCCCCCAAACCTGCTTAGCTCAGGTCTCTGGGTAAGGCATTTGCATTGTTTGTGGATCCACCTCGCTTGCTGAAGGGGTGAACAGGTTTGGGCTGAGGCTGGGTACTCTCCTCCTCCTCAGAGCAGGAGAATGGCCTGCCCAGGACACGGCTCAGAGGGGCTCCCTGTGCTCTCTCTAGGAATGGCTACAAGTTCCTCTACTGCTCGGCCAGGGCGATTGGCATGGCCCACATCACCAAAGGCTACCTCAAATGGGTCAACGAGCAAGGCTGTGCCCTCCCCAGGGGCCCCATCCTGCTCGCCCCCAGCAGCCTCTTCTCTGCCTTCCACAGGTACTGTGTCCTCTCCTGCACCCCCATCCCTGGGGGCAGCACCCCTTCCCCAGCTCAGTGCTGAGGGATGTCCCAGCCCCAAACTGCTCTGCCCTCCTTGGCACCCCCCGGAGCTTCGTGGTGAAACTCCTGATGCACAAAACCTCTCTTACCCTCCAAATCACTTCCCTGAGCCCCAGACAGCCTGGCTGCCTGCAGCCCTGGCCAGCTGATGCCTCTCTGACCACGGGTCTCGTGCTGCAGGGAGGTGATTGAGAAGAAGCCAGAGGTGTTCAAGATCGCCTGCCTGCGGGACATCCAAAACCTGTTTGCCACCAAGTGTCCCTTCCACGCGGCCTTCGGCAACAGGCGCAATGTGAGGGGGTCTCCTGGGGCAGGGGGAGGGCTCGGCTGGGGGGTGGTGCCTTTCCTGCAGCTCTCACGCCACGCTGGGCTCCCTTGGGCAGGATGTCTACGCGTACAAGCAGGTGGGGCTGCCGGAGAGCCGCATATTCACGGTCAACCCCCGGGGAGAGCTGATGCAGGAGCTCACCAAGAACAACAAGTCGACGTAAGTGATGTGCTTCTTCCTCGGCATCCTTGGGATAACTCCTCTGCAACCCAGAGAAGCATCCTGGGGTGTAGAAAAGCAAACAAATGCCCAGTGGCCCCCGTGCAACTTTCTCACCCCCACAGGTACGAGCGGCTGTCGGAGCTGGTGGAGCTCATCTTCCCTCCCCTGGAACAGAGTGGGAGAGCTGGTCTGGCGTGCCCAGAGTACAGCCACTTTTCCTACTGGAGACCTCCACTGCCTGATGTTGACTTGGATGCCGCCTTCTAACCCCCTTCCCTGTGCAGGCCTGACCCAGGGTGTCCTGGGTGTCCTTTGCCAGGACTGAACACTCCAGCTGCAGCTCTTCCCCCGTTTCTGCTCAGGCATTTTGCACTTGTAATAGAGGTCACAACACCCCTTTTCAGATGGCTAAAGGGAGTAAAAGGGAGCTCTGACTCTATAAAACCTCCGGTTGCCAAACTAAAACTCCTGTAAGCTGTGTCTCTTCTAATGTTTGTAACCCCTCTAAAGCCTGGCTCTTTTTGAGAGGTGGTGGTTGGTCACTGTTATATTTATTGATGAGCCTCTGGTATAGCTATTGCTACCTCCAGTATGACCAGTGTTCCCAGACAGTCCAGCTACCTGCAGTTTGGTAGCTGATGGAGTGAAACTGCCCACCAAATCATTAAGGTGGATGGAAGATGTCGGGTATTTGAGTGTTTTTGACTAATAGCAACAATAAATAGTGCCTTCAATCTGGCATCCGCCTTGTCCTTCCCTCACTGCCGTGTGTGAGTGTAAATAATCTCTGAGTCTGCCATTTCTGGAAGCCACACAAGTCATTTTGATTCTGGAAACCTCAGCGAGAAATACTTTATTTTTTTTTTTTCCTTTCCAGTACAAACACTTTTTCAGCTTTTAAAATCTGAACAAATGTAAAATGTTTTAAAAACAATAGAACACAGCCTTTTAATGGTATCAGTTATCAACTGCCTTGGAAAGCTGCCCATGCAAGGACAACCCCACGGGCACCATTTCCTCCTTCTGCAAGCAATAAAAAAAAGAAAAAAAATGCCCAGTTTTGTACAAAGTTCCTTTCACTTTTTAAACATGAATAGCTGAGAACTGAAATATAAACTGTCCATAGCTTCAAGTGACTAGTCAGGAATAGTCCAAACATAGCACCATTTTCTGGAAGGTCAGACTTCTTCCTTGTCCTGGTTTTGTTAAGGCCAGTCCCGGCTCCCTCTGCTCAGGAAGCTGTTCCTGTTCAGCCACTCTAACCCAGCCCTGGCTGGGGAAGGGGGAGCCTGGCCCTTGGCTCTTCTTCTCTTTGGTTGCTGCAGCCCTTTTTTCCCTGGTGTGAGGGTATGGGAAGGGGGCTCAGGCAGGATGCTCGTGTGGGGTGAGGGCTCCCCTGAGTACTGAGGGTTGACTTAAGACTCCTTTCTTGGGCTGAGTTAAAAAATAGCTTTTGTTGTCTAAGAGCAGGTTTTGCAGGATGCCCAGCAGCAGCTGGGGGTTGTTCTTCAGCCGTAGAAGCGTCTCAGCAGCTGCAGCACAGCTCCAAATCAGCAAAGCCCAGAGCAGCAAGAGTGGATTCTGGTGCTGTGAGCATCTGGTGGGACTGGGTGAGTGGTGTGGGGCCAGGTCCCCTCTCCCTGCTCCCACAGCTGATGGCCCATGCTCCTCCGGCAGGGGAACCAACTAATTACTGCATCAGGGGACCATGATGTGGCCAGCTGGACTCAGGGATCCCTGTGGTCCTCCCCAGCCTGGAATGATGCTTCAGGGAGCTCACCCAGTTTTTCTGGAGGAGAAAAGGTGCCCTGAAGCATCTCTGCTGGAAGCTGCTGCTGCTGCTTTGTGCTGGTTAGGGAGGACCAGGGAGGGAATTGTGGTGGAAAAGAACAGGGACAGCCTGGTGAGGGTGATGGGCACTGGGTGGGAGCTGAAGGCTGGATGGCGTGGAAGAGTCCATGAGCTGAAATGCTGAGCTGATAGAAAAATATGTTCCTCTGCTATAAAGTGCCAGAGCTGCTTGGATGAGGCTCTTTTAATTTCCTCCTCACCCTAGTAATGAAGTCCCTGTTGCTGGTTAGCAGAGGGTGCCCGTGGGGGGCTCCCGGGGAGGGGCAGGTTCTGTGTACAACAGGAGCATGGACAGCCTCCTCCAGCCTGCCTGCTTGTGGGAAACCAGAGTCAAGCTGGGTAAATCACTTGGGATTTGGATTCCCAGGCTGAGCTGAGGAGAGGTCTCCAGAGCTCTTCTCACAGGTGCAGGTCCCAGGGCTGGTGGGCTAGAGGAATGTGAGGGGGAGGCTCCTGTTCCCACACTGCTGCACTCAACACCCCGGAGCAGCTGGAATTCTCCTGCCCCTGGATGAGATGAGAGAACCCACGTTCACAGTTTAAGCAGTAAAACAGGAGAGAAGCAGAGCTGGAGGGCAGGACTGGGGACCATGGGGCTCTCCCCAAAGTGCTGCTACCACAGGTTTTAGCTGCTCTTTGGAATATGGCAATGGACACGGGGCAGCAGGAGGAAACCCAGCAATCAGATGAGCACCATGACAGTGGATTCTTCAGAAATATCCACACACATACCCTCTGTACATATATGCATATGTGTGTTTTCCTAATGCATACCCTCATCTGCTCCACAAGGCATGTGCATCTGCATGGAGGAGGGAGCAGTGTAAATGGATTTACCATACACAAGGAGAGCTGCCGTCTCGGAGAGGGGAAGCCAGTTCCCAGGGGGACGTGTGAATACGTGTGTTCTTTGAAATTTGCAATTCCTGTGGCGAGTTTTGTTCCCTGTAAGGAGCCCTGGCTTCGCTCAAGTCCCTGGATTAAGATGCAGGTGGTCTTTAGGTCAGAGAAACTATTCCTCCACTGATAACTACGGGGTTGTATTCTTCAAGAAATTATAAATCCGCAAAAATAAAATTGGAAATCAATGTTCCCGCCTCCAGCTTCCTCCTGAATTGTCCTTGTGGGGTCATCAGCCCAGGAGCCAAAGCAACCCCCCCAGCCAGGAGGCAGTGACACTGCTGCACCAGGTCAGGACAGCTGCCGAGCGGGAGGGGAGTACTGGCACGGCGGAGTTATGGAAGAGTGGGGCCAACAAGATGAAGGGGGAAAAAAAAAAAGAAAAAGTAGCAGCTTTTCATTAAAAAAATTATCCCACGAACTGTTGTCACATTGGAGCGAGTCTGTGTGATATAAGTTAATCCTGTCCTTCGCAGGGGGGGAAGGAAGGCACACATGGCAGTGTGGCTAATGCTGCCTCCCCTCCACCTTCTCTTCCAAGTGCCCGACCTGTTCTGCCAGCTCAGAGACCTTGGCTTGGCAGTCAAGCAGGTTGTCCTTCAGTCCTGTTATTTCCTGAGAGTGGGCAGCCAGTGTCCCGTTCATGTGGTCCATGTAGTCCCACAAACTGCCCGTGTGTTTCTCCAGTTCCTTCCTGATGTCGTCCAGGCTCCCTGTGAGGACGCCCAGCCGGCCGCAGGCTCTCTCCACCCGGGCCACCCGCTCGTCGAAGTGGGAGATCTCCTGCTGCAGGTCGTGGGCCACGTTCTTGCAGGAGCTCAGGTCGCTGACAATCCTGGCTTTCAGTCGCTCCAGGTCTCCCTTGAGGTTCAGGATGCGCCGGTTGCTGAAGAAGAGCTGGGAGCCTTGGTCGTTGACTCTCTCCTGGATGGAGTGCACCTCGTCCTCGATCTTCCGCTCGTGCTCGTCCAGCGAGGAGTTGACGTGTGTCACGGTATCCGAGTACTGGGAGACGGAGTCCTTGAGCCCCGTCAGAGACTTGCTCACAGTGTTCAGGTTGATCTTCAGCAAGGTGATCTCCCCTTGCAGAGCCCCCGCCGCTTCCTCCTCGATTCGCCGCTGGATCTCCAGGATGGTGGCGTTCAGCTTGCGCAGGAGGTCGTAGTTGCTGTCCATCCGCAGGAGCAGGTCCTGGTTCTTGCTCTGGCAGTCTTCAATCTCCGTCCGGAAGGTCTCCACGTCTTTGGAGGCAGAGGTGCAGCCCAGGGAACAGGTGCTCTCCAGCGTGACAAGGCGATTCTGGAGCCCCTCCAGTGCCTCGTCCGTGCGTCTCCTCATGCTGGCGAGCTCGCCCTCCAGCACGGGCACCACCGCTCCATCCATTCCTGCGGGAGAACTGGCATTGTTCAGCTCCCCCACGATGGTCATGAACCTGTCCTCCAGGGTCTGCATTTTGTCTTCAAAGGCAGTCCTCATGCCATCCACCTCTGCCACCACCGTGCCCCTCACGCTGTCCTCTATCCCGGAGCAGCAGCTCCCCGTTTCCCTCTCTGTAGCATTGAGCCTGGCTTCCAGGTCCTCAAAGCGCCCTTCAAAGAGGTTCCCTAGGGTGACAGTGGAGATTTCTCCATCCAGCCGTGAGTGCAAGTTCTTCTGGGACTCGGAGATGCTGTGAAGGCCTTTCTCGAGGATGTTCATGCGATCAGTGAGGTAGTCCAGGTTGCTGCAGCAGCTTTCCACCACGGTCAGCCCTTGGATCTGGGTCTCCAGCTGGGAGATCTCTTTCTTGATCTCCAGCTCCTTCCCGTCCAGCGTCTGTTGCAGCCGCAGGTTGGCAGCTTTCTCCTCCTCGCACTGCTGCCGCACCTCCTGGATCCGGAAGTCGCACGTGGTCTGGATCTTCCCCAGCTTCTTCTCGAAGCCGTCAAGCAGCTCCCCGCGCAGGTTGCTCAGCCTCGTGTCCACGTACTCCTCCAGCAGGTCGATGGAGGTGAGGGGCGAGGGCCGGGCGGCCTCCAGCAGGTGCTTGATGTGCCCGTCGTGGTCCAGGACCATGCCCTGCACCTCGTGCAGCAGATCCGCCTTGGTTTTCAGCACGTCGCTCACCTCCGTCACCTTGGTCAGGATCTCCCCCACGGGCGGGTACGTGGCCACGTCGGCCTTGTCCGCCACGTCCACCAGCCCGTCGGGAATGATGCCGAAGCCGACCGTGGAGTCGGGCGTGCCCGGGCTGTTCATCAGGGAGCCGATCATCTTGGTGGTGTCCTCCTGGATGGCCAGGCGCAGGCGGTCCCCCAGGCCGCTCACCATGCTGTGCAGGCTGTCGTAGGACTGGGACAGGCGCCTCACCTCTTCCTCCAGCCGATCCAGGCGGTCCCCAAAGAGGCCTGGCAGCTTCCTGCCTGCAGGGCAAAGAAACAGAGAGGGCACAGTCAGGACTGGTGTTCCTTTAACTCCCCTCCTTGGCTCCCCTTTTATTGCCATTTCAGCAAAATCTCAGCCCACCCTCCCTCTCCATCTCTCCTTAAGCTGACCAGAAACCCTCTTTCCTATTGGGATCCAGCCCTCTGCTCCTGAGTTAAATAGCAGGTAATGAGAATAGCCCAGGGGAGCTTTGTCTTGAGACACCCTCTACCAACCCCAAAATTAACAGGAAAATGCTCTAAAGCAGTGAGGAAAGGCAATTTTGAAGCTGCATGTTTTGAAGGAGACAAGATTAAAAAAGCAAGTGGTCCTCAAAGGAATCAAATCTCAGATCTCTGATCAGAAAGCACATCACCCACTGAATTTTTGCCAGATTCATGCCCTGTGCTGGAACAGAAAGAACCAGGAGGGTCGAGTGTGTGACAGTGGTTTGGTGGCCTACAGATGTGAAGCAGGAGCGAGATCTCACCATACTGATTCTTCTTCGGTCCTGGAAACAGGTCAGGGTGGCTTTTTGGATAGGGAGGCAGTCTGGGCATCGGAAACATGTTTTGCCCAGGAGGCATTTTGGGGCTGGGATGCTGGGGCAGGAGGCCGGGCTGGTCGGTGGGGCTGTCGTGGCACCCTTCTCCCATGAAGCCTGGGCAGCACCTCCAGGACAGCTCGGTCACTGTCTTGAATCCGATCTTGTATCTGGGCCTGAAGAACGTGCGGTACCTTTCCAGGAGAGGGGGGAGAGAGGGGACAGTTTAGAGAAGCAACAACCTCATCAAGCAGTAAGGCAGAGCAGGGTCGAGTCCTGTTGGGTGTGGGGGATCTGTGCACAGGGGAAAGCCTGGCTGAGACCCCTGTGCTGCACCTGCAGAGCATGGCCCACCTCCTCCAGCAGCTCTTACTGCGGCCCAGCTCGGTGCAGCATTACAGTGGGGTTTTGTTGGAGTGCTTTTGACCTGGGATACCTGTTGTTAGTTAGGAACAGCAGCTGTAAGTGTATTGCTGCAGTCAGCTGGTGACCACTCTGACTGATGCCACACCCCTTGACAACCTCTGGCCCATGAGACCACAAGGTGAAACGATGGCAGTGATTTCAAAACCCCTGCAAAATCAGATCACTTCCAAGAAGGAAGCAGACAGCTTGTGGAAGTGTTTTGCACATTGAACTGACCTACAGAATTTCCTAGTAATTGTATCCTGAAGCCTCTGTGAGTGTCGAAAGCCTAAAGGGGCTTGGGCTGGCCTGGTAAGGGTCCCTGGGCCGATGCTCTGGGGTGTGCACAGAGGGATAGCTCCTTACACTGCCTCCTGCCCCAGCTGGGGATGCACTGGGAAGTTTCTCCATCACCAGTTTGGGCACTAAAACATCTGTGCCCCCACAACCAGCACACGAGGTGCAAGCCCACCTCCTTGCCCAGTGGGACACCAACACCCTCCCTCTCTGCTCTTGCTCTGCATGGGGTCCCATCAGCCCATCTGGAGGACTCAGCTGCTCCCTGCTCCTCCGTGGCAATTTGCTGTGAGGTGACAGGGATGGGACAGGACCCCCCCAGCACCTGTGTCCCCCCACCAGCCCAGCTGAGCCGCACAGGGCTGAAGATGGGGCGTTTCTCGCCACCTCTGAACATCAATGCTTTGAACCTGCCTTTTGCAAATGTCCAATCTGAATTTAACCAGGGCCTGAAAACCCTGAAGTTTGCTGTTTTGCAACAACACACACAATCAGGCCCTTGTTCTTCTCCAGCACGTCCAGCAGAAGGTCTCAGAGGAGGTGGCAGAGCAGAGGGGCTGCAGTTATCCATCCCAGTTATCCATTGCTCAGGGCAGCACACAGGGCACATCCCCTGTCATCCATGGCCCTGCCTGAATCCTCAGTGTCCCTGGCCCAGGCTGCAGCCCCCAGCAATGCCACTTCCACACGACTCCCAGTGTGATGCAGCCTCGGAAAGAACTGCAGGGCAGGGGGATAAAGGAAACCCAAATCCTCTGCTCCTTGATTCACTCCCAGATTTCTCCACGTGAATTTCCCAAAGGCACAGGACAGCTTCAGAACAAGCTCCTTTTCTTGGTATTCCTTTTTCACAGGTGTTGCTGAGTTTCAAAGGTCTTTCCTTGTCTTGGGGTGTGTGGAAATCTGCCTGGGCGTACCCCAGGAGTACAGGTACAGTGCTGCTCCCAGCCACTGTCAGGGGGTGAGGTGAGGAGGAGGATGGCATCCAGAAGGCAGGGCAGCTTCTCTGTGTCATGCTGGACTCTGCAGAGGAGCTCAGAGAGCTTCAAACCCTCCAAACCTCTCTCTCCCTGTTCCAAGCAGCAGCAAGGGGAAGTACTATTTGCAGCTGCACAAACATGAGCTGATGGCCCCAGCATGTGGAAAAACCATGTTTCCCTCTGGTCTGTGGATGCAGCATCTGAGGCCATGCAGAACATCCTGATGGAAAGAACAAGTCAAATAGTGGGTCCAGTTGCCCATCTCTGCTGGCAGAGGCTCCATGCAGAGCCCATGGCACCACTGGCACACGGAGAGTCCCAGCCTGCTGCCACAGGAGGGGTCCCAGGCTCCAACAAAAGCCCCTCTCATCCCGGTTTTCCTCCATGCTCAGCTCTGCTCCACTCCTCGGGCCTGGGGAGGATGCAGGAGATCAGCATTTCCACCTGGAGCAGCATTCCCAGCCCGGGCTGCCGAAGCACGAAGCCTGAGTGTCCACACTGCTCCAGCAGCAGCTCCAGCGGTGGCACAGTGGGCTGTTTCCCTCCAGCACTGACAGGGTGGCAGAGAGTTCTGCAAACATCTTCCTAGGGCAGGAAGCACTGAGCCATCCCCAGCCAGGGGCTCCGTTCCCTCCTCCTCTCAGTCAGGTTCTCAGCGAGCTGCCACCACTCTGCCAGATTGCAGGTCTGTGACAAAATGCACAGGCAGCTCCCCACTTCCCATGAATTCATGATTTATTTCTGAGTCACAGAATAGCCTAAGCTGGAAGGGACCCACAAGGATCATCATTTCAACTCCTGCACAGGACACCTCCAAATATCACACCATGTGCCTGAGAATATTGTCCAAACACTTCTTGAACTCTGGCAGGCTTGGTGCTGTGATTAAATTCCCTGGGGAGCCTGTTCCAGTGCCCAGTCACCCTCTGGGTGAAAACCTTTTCCTAATATCTAACCTAAACCTCTCCTGACACGTCTTCTAAGGAGGGACAGATCCTGTCTTGCCTCCTCCCAGCACCACTGCCCTGCCATTGACTGCCTCGTCCAGGAAAAGCCTTTCAGTCGTCTCACTACCCAGTGGAAATTTGTGTTTTATGATCGGAAAGGTGGCACAGGAGCCTCGGGAGCTGACGCTGGGTGGGGAAGGGAGCCGTGCCCAGTGCCCCCCGTACTCACAGCACTTTCCCCGGGCACTTGGGTCCCCAGCTGCACTTGTGGTACTCGGCCTTGACGTAGCTCTCGGCCCCGTCCTGCAGCGTGCACGTCACGTTGCGCTGCACCACGTAGGCACAGTAGCTCCTGGGGGGAAGCACAGCGAGACACTGTCACCCCCTGCCCGCCAGGCAGTGGCACCCCAGCTGTCCCCCCCCCACTCCCCAGGCAGGTCTGGCACTGCTGGCGAGGTTCAGGCAGCAGGAGCTGGGGGCATCACCACCACGCTGCAGCAGCATGGATGCTGTCACAGTCACAGCCACACTGTCATCAGTGCTGGTGGTGTCACCAGAGCGGGGCTGTGCTCGGCACAGATGGACTGGGTGGTGAGACAGGCTGGGACGACAAGCAGAACCCCACCGGCAGCAGCAGTTATGGGAACAGCATCCCAGAAATAGCTCCAGCAGCGCCTGGCTGGGGTTGTCTGTCCTGCTGCAGCTCCTGGAGTGCTGCCAGGGCAGGGACCAACTCAAAAGCAGCTCAAAAGTACCCGCAGGCAGTGGGTACTGTGGCAGGCGTGATGCTGCAGTCAGCAGAGAGGAGATGCAGACTGGCCACTCTGCAGGGCTGCAGCATCGTGGGTCCCTCTGCCATGGAGGCAGGGACACGGAGCAGATCCATGATGGATCAGGCTGGAAACCTCTCCAGACCTCTAGGACAGTTAGTACAAGGAGCAGAGACTCCCCCCTGCCATGGTGCCCACAGCAGAGTGTCACAGGTACCAGTCAGCTCTAGCACAGGATCTCTCCTGAACCAAGCAGCAAATCCAGGAGTTCAGGATAAGCTGGGTGGGAGGAAGGCTGTGCAGGAAGGATGCAGGAGTACTGGTGGGACAGATGGAGGCCAAGGCTGTTCCAGCTGAAGGCAGGGCTGCTGGCAGGAGCAGATGGACTTGGTCCATGGGGACAGAGACAGCAGGGATGTGTGGTGAGGCAGGGATTAAGGACAGGGGGATGTGGCAGACGGCAGAGCGGGAGGAGAGGAGGGCACAGGCACTGAGTGCAGAGCAGAGCTGAGGAGCAGGGTCAGCAGGACGGAGCAGATGGGCCAGCGGAGCTGCAGGTGCAGGGAGGTGCTCAGTGAGGCGGCAGGACATGGCTCTGTGTGAGCTTGGTGTGGGTGGGCAGGGAGGGTACTTTGTCTTCACCTGTTTGCCAGCAGTGCTTGTCCCTCCTCCATTGATCTTTCCCCACTCAGGGTGAGCCAGAGGGCTGCTGCTCTGTCCCCTGAGGGTGGGCAGGGCTGTGCACACCCCACCCTGTGCACGTACACACATGGGCACACACACTCCCTCACACAGGAGTCACCACAGTCCTTCTCCACAAACCCTTCTGCTCCAAACTGACCGCCACAGTCCCCTCCCTCACCTCTACCTGCCAGAAGTCTCAACATCATCTGGAGCATCATTCTGACAAGCCCACGAGAGCTGGGCTGAGGCCCTGCAGCTCATTTCTGTGCTCAGCCCTGAGGCTGCTCTCCACAGGCCGTGTGATGGGGATGCCAGGGGACTCCAACTGCATCCCAGCCTGTGGCCAGGCAGCCCAGAGTCACAGGAACCAGCTCATGCAGGGAGAGCTGCTTCCCAGTGTCCCCATCCAGAAGCTCAGAGCAGGTTCCTCCATCTCCAGCAGGAGCTCCCTCCATGCAGCAGCAAGGTGTGAGCAGCTCATCCTCCCTCCAACACCCTGGCTCTGTCTCTGCTCCCTCTCAGCAGGGATGCCCTGATCCCACACACCCAGCACATCCCCCTTGTTCCCCCAGGAGCAGCACCAGCACATCTCTCCCAGCCTGCCCAGACCTGGCAGGGGCTGCCAGGCCCAGAGCACGAGCAGGGCCCTGGGCTGCTCCCCACTCCTCTGGAAGTGAGTCATCCATCCGAGCACAGGGCCACAGGAGAGCGAAGGCCAGCCACTTCTCTTAGCTGGAGGGGAGGGAGATCATGTGTGCAATGTGGAAATTTAGGATCACAGTCTATCCATGAATCCAGGACCTGCTTACAAACACACTGCCAACCGTCTCTAAGTCAGCTCATAGCCAGTGCAGGCAGATCTACCAGTCACTACAATAAAGAGTGCCTACCTCCAACTTCTTGGGTTAGCGTGGTTCTGGCTCACTCTCCCCCTCAGAACCCCCTTCCCTTCTCACACACCTGTGGCAAGTAGTTTTATAGCTGCAGCCTGATGTTTTTAGAGTGAGCAGCTGGAAAATGTTACGGGTTTTTGAAAGCCCTCACTGGCACTGCCAGTATTGTTTGTGTGCAGTGTTACTTTATTCATTTCAGCTTGTTCCTAACACCACATCCTCCCCTTTTCAAAGGAGCCCGGCAGAAACCACTCTGAGCAAACAAGCGGAGAGGGAAGGGACACCCCCTCCCCGCCCCCAATGTAACAGCTTTTCTGCCATCGAATGGAAAAAGTCTATAGCATGTGTAAAGCCCACATTCCTCACTGCCTCAGCTTTCCAGGTTTCTTGAAAACTTATTTAAACTCTAGTACGTATGTGTTTTACAAGCAAAGGGACAAATTCCCTCCAAACCAACATGTGTTTTCACACGTCTCTCTGTGCACCGCCACCCTTCCCTCCCGCACATCACCCCCCCGCGCCCCTGTCAGGCAAAACAGGTACATGCACCTACCCCAAAACTGCACACGGGCATCCTCATCCCCACTCCCCCAGCCCCGTCCCACACGGGACCTCAGCACAGCCGTCCCCGCCGCAGGCAGCCCGCTCCCTCCTGGAGACAGAACTCCCGGCCCCTCCTCTGGATGGAGGGGGCACCGAGACACCCGGACACTGCTGCCCCGCCGCCAGCCCCTGTTCAGTACCCGGCAGATGGTGTGGGGCAGGGGATGCCCGCGGCCGGTACCCAGGGACCCCTGCCCAGCCAGGGATGCCCGCTGGCGAGCCCTGGGAGATGGTACCCACGGTCGGTACCGGGGGTGGGTGCCCACACGGGGTGCCCGCGGCAGCCGCTCCCCCGGGGATGCTCCCGCAGACCCAGACGCGTGGCCAGTCCCCGGTGGCCGCGGTCTGTGCCCGGTAAGGGATGCCCGACAGAGACCCGGGATGGTTGCGCCACCGCGGCTGGGGAATCGCGCAGGGAGTCGCTTACTTGTGCTTGCCCACGGGCTTGCCGGGGCCGAGCTGCGGGCTGGAGCCGGCCGTGTAGAGGCTGTACCTGCCGCCGTAGGGCAGGGGGGCGGCGGGGGGGTAGAAGGAGCCCTTGGCGTCCGCGAGGGCCAGCAGCGTCCCCAGGGAGATGCAGGCGAGCAGCGCTCCGCGGCGGCGCAGCGCCCGCGCCCGCCGCATGGTCCCGGCCCGACGGGGAGCGGGATGGGATGGGACGGGACGGGACGGTCGCGATCCCTGTCGGAATGGCGCTGAGGAGAGGACCAGAGCGCTTCTCGCTGCGCCCTGCCTGGTCCCTGCCCTGCCTGTCCCTGTCCCTGTCCCTGTCCCTGTCCCTGCCCCGCTCTGCCCGCGGCACACGCCGCTCCGCCGCCCGCCCGGCCCCTTTTGTACGGCGGCGGCGGGGGCGGTCCGCGCTCCTCCTCCCGCCCTCCCACAGCCTCCGACCCCGGCCCCGCGGGCGGGGAGACAAAGCGAAGCCCCCCGACCCCCCTTTCCCCCCGTCCAGCCCCCGCCAGCGGTGCTGCAGACCCCGAAGCAGAGCGGGCGAAGCGCTGCCGACCCCCGCGGGGGCTGGAAGGGGCTCGCACCCCCTCCCGGCCCCCTTCCCTCCCCTTCTCCCGCTGCCCACCCCCCCCCAGCGTACCCCGCGTTTGCCCCCTCGGGGTAGCAGGTGCCGCGGGGTCCGGAGTGCCCCGGATCCTGGTCCTTCCCTGGTGCTGCTCTGCCTCATCCCGGAGCGCAGGCGAGAGGAAGGATGGAGGGACCTCAGCGCCGCGCGTCGAGGAGATCTGCGGTGCTGGGGATTGGCACTTGTCAATTATTTGTGGCACCAGACTGGTGCATCCAGCAGAGCATCACGCAGCGAACCCAGCCCCTGGGTTCTGCAGGACGGAGAAGAGGGAGATGGTGCTGTCCTGGAGCCTTCCCCAGTAGATTTTGGCTTTGGATCCAGGTTGCAGGAGAGAAAGGGGAATCCCTTGCCTTTCCCTACAGATCCGTGGATCTCCCACAGCCAAGCTTGTTTCCTCCTATGTAGCTCTGGGAGGCAGTTTCGTGTCTCCTACTCCTCCAGCACTGCAGAAATCCCTGCTAACCTGCCCCCTGATGCCCCCTCCCACAGGGGACCCACTACAGAGGGTGCTGGGTGCTGAGCACCACGACAGCATTCCCCAGGCTCTGCACCACTGACCACAGTGGGAGCCTTTGCTGCTGGGCAGGGGGGGAAGGGCCCACGTGGGGCACTGGGCATTTTGGGAGGGGGTACCATTCCTGGTGCTGCCCAGTGGAGGTTGTCTTGAATCCCTGCAGCGCTGAGGCCATGGAAGGGAGCAGGAGATTTTGTATATAGGCAGAGACTGAGCTGAGCATCCCGCTGTGCCAGGGACACTTACACCCTTAGCATCTCACCAGGACCTCACCAGGGGGTTGATGAACTCCTGTCCTGGCTGGCAGACACCAGCCCCAAGCTAAGGAACCATCACGACAAGGAGGGCCATGGTTCTCTGAAACTCTTGGAGGGAAACAAGGAATGGCTGAGAAAGGGTGGCTGGGTGGAATCCGAAATGAAGGAATGAAACCTGCTGCTGGGGGAAGGAGGCATCAAGGCTTGGGCTGACACTGAGACAGAGATGATAAGATAGTGAGACAAACGGCCTTTTTCAGTTAAAAGGAGCCTTTGGCTCAGTCTGAGGTGAGCACAGAAACATTATCAGGAGAAGAAAAATCCACTGGAGAGCCGTGCCGGGGGAGGAAGGCTGGACAGACCAAGTGGAAAACCAAGAGGAAGCCTGAGCAATGAAGCAGTGCATCCTCTTGGTTCAAGCTGCTGCAGGGTGTTGCTGAGCCGCCGTGTGCCTGTCAGGCTGCACCCCAGAGGTGCTGCAGAGTGGTTTGTACGTGGTACATTTGGCAGCACATGAAGCAACTCCCATCCAGCTGGTGCACTGGATTGTTCCACTCCACTGGGATGCTGCAGGAGGGACGGTCCACAAGCAACTCCACAAAAACAAACAAAAGCTGACCGAGCCTGCCTGGTTTAACGCTGGATGCCAAAGTGGAGAGTGAACCCGGAGCACAGCCCTAATTTCTTTCCCCTGTGCGCAGGGAGTGAGAGCCAGTTCTAATAACAGCAAGCTGCACGTGTGTGTCTGAGGCCTCCGCAAAAAAACATCTGGTGCTGCACAGTTTCAGAAAGAGCCCTCAGCCCTGGCCCTGGAGCCTGTGCTGTGCTGAATGGGCAGGACAGGGCTGAGTTAAGGGTACTCTCACTAGCCTGGCTGTGAAAGGGAAGGAAGTGGGAGCTGTTGCACTTGGGGGGGGGGGGATGTGTCTGCCTGCCTGTCTCTGCTGACCAACCCCGCCTTTGAAGCACCAGATCACTTTCTGCCAGATTTCAGAGCAAGGCAGGATCCTCAGAGAGGCTAAATCCCATTTGGTTGTTCTATTGTCTAATTGTTTATGAAAAAAGACATCTGAGTAGACAAGAGAGTGCCAAACTTAGGTCCCAACTGAGGAAATGGATTCATCATCAACTCTTTTATAAGACATCAAAGAATCCACACAGGAGAGAGCCATTACGAGTGCCCCAAACCACGGGAAAACTCTCATGTGCCTTATTAGCCATGAGCTAGTCCAACCATGAGACACAGGGATGCAGGGAAGTGGGGCTGGTTATGTTGCACTTCTAAGGGAGCAGCTCAGGTTGCACTCTGATGCTCAGCTGTGCTGCTGCCCATCCCCACCACAGCGTGAGCCCTGGCTGGGCACAGGAGGTGCCCATGAGGAGCCTGGCACAGCATCCTGGCTGTGGAGAGGTGTTCATGTGGGGAGGAAACCTCCTGACCTGGAGGGTTGAGTGCATCAGTACCCCTGTGTGAGCACCTCCTGCATGTGCCAAGGGAGCTTCTTTCTCCTCCTGGACTGCCAGGAGCTGGTTATCTTGGTTACACCTCTCACCCCTGCACAGCTCTGCTCCAGACCACTTCAGGAATGAACAGCAAGTTTTTTCCAAACTGAGGATCCAACAGAAGACATTGTGCAGGATTCAGGAAGTACCCAGAAATAGGGGCTCAGCCAGAGGAGATGAGAGTGAGAGCAGAGGCACTGTGGGCAGCTATTGCCCTGCTCTATCTCCTGGGGAGGCCTGGGTGAGCCACCACAAGGCTAATTTCACAAGCAGATGACACCAAACAGTGACCTGTTCTGCTTCCCATGCTTTTTAATTAACACTTGCATGGCCTCATCAGCTGGATAATTGCCTCCCTTCATGGGTCAGCAGCCTCTGACCTCCCCTTCCCACCTGGGTACGATGTTTGGTGCCTGCAGAGGGTGCAGGGGGTGTACACTCCTGTACCACCAAACCCTCCCCCAGGCAGCACAGGGACAGGAAAAGTGATAGGGCACTCCAGGAACTCTGCAACTCAGCTTGGTCTTGGCCAGGACTAGCCTTGTCCACCCCAATCTGGAGCTTTAAATAAGTACCAGTGGGGGAAAGCCCCTGCCATGCTGGGCAATAAGAGGGCAGTTTCCCTCTCTATTGGCATGGGGTAGAAGCTGATTGCAGCAAGGGAAATTTAAGTTGAATATTAATAATAAAACAATATCTGCTAGTAAAATGAATGTAGCCCTGGAGGAGACTGTATTGAGCCATCTGGAGATTTTAAAGGAAAGGTTAGGTTGAAAAAAAAAAACCTGTCAGGACCAATTTGGGGTAGGGAAATGGATTGGATGGCTTCCCAAGAGCTCTCCCAGCCTGATTTTTTCCGAGTACAAATTCATTTCCCAAAGTGGCAAGGCAAGAGAGCAGCTCGATTTAGAGGCAGAGTTTCTCCCTAATGATTCCCACTGGATCAAAGGCATTCCTTGAATTGGCACTCACAGAGGCCTCTTCCCTTGGCAGCCGCTGTGTCTGTGTCTGTGTCTGTGTGAGAGGGAGCCTTTTGGAAAGCCCAGCTTTCCCAGGTGCATGTCCAGCAGGACCCACTCAGGGCTTGTTCTCTCATGTCAGAATCCATGGGAAGATCCCACAGCAATGCCAGGCTGCTTCCCCAGCCCCAGGGAGGAACAGGGACACTGCCTTACCCGAACTGGCAGGCGAGCTGCATGTCCCAAACACCACAGCACAGCGGTGGGACACCAGTCTAAGAACAGCAGTGATCCCAGTGGGGCCAGGAGTTCTCCAGGTGTTTCAATTCCCAGGTAAAACTGAGCTCAAGGAAGTCCACCGAGGTCATGGCTTGGCTGCAGGACTGGAAGCTCTTGCTGGCTCCCAGCAAATGCTTCTACCCCATCACAGCTCCTTGCTGGGCGTGGACCATTGGCCCCGATGGGGACGTGCAGGCAGGAGGCATCCCTGGTCCATCAGAAACCCAGGCAAGGTCCCAACACCTGCCTGGTTGGGAGGCTGCTGAGGTTTTGTTCTGAACCAGCCCCTGGCCCGCTCCCAGGGCTGTGACTGCAGGGGTGTCCCCTGGGGTGGGGGCACCTGGGTCTGCCCAGGCTGAGGGGGAAGCTGCGGGGGGGGCTGAGAACAGGACCCCTTCCTTCGTGGGAAAGTGCAGTGACTTGCAGTGGTCAGACAGCCTTATCTGTGGTTCCGAAACCACTCGCTGATGGTTTGTCAAGATTAGCAGGCGGTGGAAGGGATGGAGCTGTTCCAAGTCCACGCTCCCTCCCTGCCCTGGGCTCACGGCCATTCATAAAAATGCCAGAGCGGCAGCGGCAGCTCCTCCTGGGGCTGTGGTTTGGGGACGACTGCGAGGGGTCACCCACAGGTTATGCAAGCTCTGAGCAGGAGAAGAGTGCACAGGTTGCTTTATTTATATATCCATTAGTGTCTTTCCTCCAGGAAAGTGTGCAGGGAGGCTGGCAGGGGAGATCTAGCAAGGGCAAGGTGCAGGCAGGAGGTGATGTGCTTAAAAAAGCCTTTCCCAACCATGCCAGGACCCCTGGGATGAGAACATTAACAGGCAACAGCCGTGGAGGCAGAGCAGGAGCAGTCCCAGCTGGATTCAGCAGCACACAGGTCGGGGTGAAGGGGATGAAGACCGAGGAAAGGAGGAGGTGCCACCCTCCCAGTCAACTCCAGCATAACGATGGTGAGGCTCTGGGGACATGTGGTGACACGGCTGGCCCTGCAAGCCCCAGGGAAGAGCAGCCCTGACCTCAGCTGAGCAGAA